TTGTTTGACATTCATAAGTGTGACAGACATACTGTCACAGGTGTACCCAAGGTTTGGCCATTGGCGATTTCCTGGCAATGCAGCAATAACCTCACTCTGTTCTGTCCAATTCGAGAAAGTATATGTTGTGCGAGGGAGCTAGAGTGAAACATATTACTGGGATAACCTTGGGTCCTTGTTAGTTTATTTTTTATATGAACCAATAAAAAAACTTTAATTTTTTTTTTTTACTTTTATTAGTCCTTGTGATAAATCTTGCAACTGATTGCAACATACCACTGTGTTGTAGCAAACGGTTAAGTGCCAGTGTTGTGAAGGATTGCTGTGGTAGCCGGTATGAACTGCCTGTCATATTATTTGGAGGATAAGCAGCTTTTCTCTAGCCTCACTTCGGAAAGAGCTTAGAGTCTGGAGGAAAGAATTTCATTTCACTATAAGGCAGGATTCCTTATCAACAACAACAATAATAATAACTACTATTTATTGAGTGCCAGCTATTTCTAACAACTATGTGCTGTGCCTATAGAAGAATACATAATATAAAATAATTATATATATATCAGATATATGCTGTGACATATATATGTGATACATTATTGAACTTTAAAATATGAAACTGAGGCTCAGACAGGTTACATAATTTGCCCAGCCTGAGGAGTTGGTAAGTTGTGGCATTGGTCACTTTAAAGTCAAAATTAACACCTGGAATGAATTTTGTGAAATTAAGAAGAATCCCCTAGAAGGGCGATGGTTATTTTCATTTATAAACTAGGCAGATAACTCCCAGAAATGGCTGTTGACATTAGTTCCTGAGTAGTCTGTAAGTTTAAACAAATTACTACAAGTCCCCAAGTGCGGCCCCTCAACCGAATCCAAACTGCACAGAACAAACCCTTTTATTACAAGGATTTGTTCTGTACAGTTTGGATTCAGTCAAAAGGCCACACTCAAGGATCCAGAAGGCCACATGTGGCCCGAAGGCCACAGGTTCCCCACCCCTGAATGTCTTTTGATCTTTGGTTTAGGATTGTTGCATACCAAGAGCAGGATATTTGTGGTTGCAGTAAGTTAGCTTGTCGGTGTGGTACGGTGAGAAGGGGGGCGGGGGTGGGGGGGGCAAGCCCTCAACTTTTGTTAGACCAAAAGACAAAACGTGTTCAAATCCCAGCCTTACCACTTCCTAGCTTTCTGAATTTGACAGGGCCTCGAGCCTTTCTGAGCCTCAGTTTTCTCGGCTCAAAAATGCGGACAGTGATGATGGCGACACTAATAATAATCAGTGATACCTTCCTCCTAGGGTATTGCAGGAGTGAGATTATGTCTGACAGGTTATAAGCACACATACATTTTCAGTACTATTGATTATTACAAATCTATTAGATTATTATCAAGAGCCTACTGCTCACCCACAGAATGAAATAGTGGGCGACTCTCTTGTACCATGTTATTTTTTTTTTAATTCTTTGGGAGAACAGGCATTGTTCTCTGAACCCAGATATCTTGCAAGCTAGATCCTGATGAAGAAATGAGGTCTTAAGAATGCCAGTGCGGCGTGTTCTTGTTCCTGTTATAATTAAAAAGCAAACTTTTATGGAGGTACGAGGCTGAATGGCAGCCCCAGCCCGAGGACCACTTGGCTAATTAGCTCGCTGGCATCCCAGGCTTCCCTGACGCCCGCTGCCACTTGTTGTCAGCTCCTTGAAACTGCAGAAATTCGCCTCTGCAGGTGTGGAGAGCTGCTTGAATTACGTAGGGTGCATGAGAGAGCAAATTATTTAGGCAATAGAGCTGAAAATGTGGGCAAATTAGAATTTTTCATAGCAAGATTGTTCATTGTGGAGCCAATTCATGATTATAATGTGCGCGTCTTGCTTCAGATATTCCACTACACAATAAACCTCTTTGCTGGGATGAATATGTATGTGGGCTAATTTAATCAATATACTTGTGAACGTTGACTGTAGTGGTGTCTGACAGAACTCATCCTTTGAAACGCTGGCTGAGTTAATGCGTGCAGCGTATATATGGGCCAAGACTCATAATTTGTGTTAAAAGAAGATTATTTTGAGAAGACACAACACTCACTGCCTGGTAGAAAATGGGAAAGCCTGAGGGATGGAAGGAAAAGGGGCAAAGGGATTTTTGTCCTTTTCTTCTCGTTGGACTGAACACCTAAATTCACGGGACTAAACTGCCTGCCTTTTGGAAAATTTGCAAGGCATTGACTATGTTTTTTTTCCCGTGTGTGTGTGTGTGTGTGTGTGTGTGTGTGTGTGTGTGTGTTTCCCCCATTGATTCATTTGAATTCTGTAAATTGCCTAAAAGGGGGATGGGGAAGGCTTTTGTGCATTGATGGATTAAATGCAGGATTGAGGAAGTGTCCTGCTCCAATCTGCAAATGCTTGCTCTCTGGGCCACTGTCCTGTGTCACAGCAGCACCAAACTCTGGGTCTGTGCCACAACTGCTCTCCACCTGCACCCCACCTCCCCCAGCAGGGCCTTGAGCTGTTCCAAGGGCAGAAGTGCCGGGAGCAAGGCCACCCCCGTCGTGAGCAGACCTCCATGCCAGACAGCATTTTGGTCATAGCCTTAAAGCTCATCACTTCACTTCTCATTAGTAATCCACTACAAATCCACGCGGACAAAGCAGCGGCAATACCGTATGTCATTTGCAGCGTGATGCAGATGCAGTTTGACTCAGTGTTCCCCATACACCCCGCCCAGGGCCTTCGTATTCTTAATAAAGGACTAAATAGATATGCTTGATCTCCCCATTGTTAGGAGGAAATAAAGCCAACTCTTGGAAGGCCCAGGTTCAGCATTAGTGTTGCTTTAATCGTGTCAGATAGTTTTGATGCTGACTTAAACTATAGGGCCCAAAGAGGTTTGCTTATCCCTAATTTCTGTGATTACAGCTTGAGGTAAGAAATAAGCAGAAACAGCTCCAAGTAGGTCTTCTTTATTTCACATATGAATTCCATGCAATAGGTGGTTGAAGCACTTGGTGTTGCCTAATTATTCTATTCCTATGGGTCAGGGTTGGGGACGCCGGTTCTCATTATAGACTAGTTAATTCATGTGGGGAAAATCCAGGCAGCAACTCTCAGCTGATATACTTCCTTTCAGAATTTTTCTACCTCCACTTGGCTTTTGTGAACCTTGGAAAAACGTTAGGCATTTTCCCATAACTCTTGAGTTGCAGACGATCAGTAAGCACAAACCTTTCTCTTGACAATATTAAAGATATTGGACGAGCCATTAAGAGGGGTTATTAGATTTCATATTTCATAAATGACTTTTCTTGAGGAAATCAAGCCAGGCGCTAACATGAGGAGATTTGCAAGTGACAGCTTTTGTTAAATGCAACCTTAAACTTATTAAGTTGCATAACTCAGAATATACCTATCAGTATACCAAGTCACCACGACTGGGGTATTAGAAAGCCTCCAAATTATGGAAAATACATTGGATATGAGATTTTGAACAATCTCTAAATCTGGATAAGCAAAGAAATTCAGTATGGCAGCAGTAAAAAATTATTCTTAAGAAAAAGACCCTCCTTCTAGAATAGCTTGCTCTCCCTAGAAGTCACCACCGTACTTATACTGGGCCCCGGGAAAGGGAGTTAGCAGCACACATGGTTTATAATGGGGTTAAATCCAGTAGTTTCACGGGTGCCCTTTCTAAGTATTGAATACGACATCACATCAAATCCAAAGTAAGCGGTTGTGGAATTATCCCAGGATATGGGACTACATTAGAAGAGAGAGTGAGCTGTGTGTATATGTGTGTTACTTGTATCATGCAACATATTCCTTGGACAAAGTCATTGCTCTGCATAAGGCATTAGGCTAGCTAGGGGCTGTATAAGAATGAAATAGACTCGGGCACTTGCGATTGTGTTTGTGTGTATAATTTAATGAATAATCTGACATGATATTCAGTAGTGAAAACCATGGAAAATAAATCTAGCATAATGGAGCATTCCAGGTAAACTGGTGACCATTGCCATCTGGTCTGCACAGCTCAGCACATTGGTCATTTTTTCACATAGAAATCCTGTTTAATAGGTGATCCAAGCACCTTCTTTTGCCTAATGATTCTATTCCTTCAGTTCATTTTTTTAAATCCTGAATTATGCTCTTTTTAACTCTATTCAAGATATAATGTGTTTACTTGGAAATGTGCTTTGTCATATTTGAGAACTTTGGTGTAATATATGTTACTTATTTGGCTACGCTTCCAACTGGAGGCATCTTTAAGTAATCGATGAGGTGGACACACAGGCTCGCTTTCCCAGGAAATCAATTCCCAACATAAAGGACTCGGAAGCGACATAGCCTATTTGTCAGGATTCATCCTTATTAAATCCAGACAGGACGTTAGCTTTAGGGTTGAAAGGTTTTGATCGTATGCAAAACGGACTAATTTTTATAACACACGGCCGCTACGTTAATTTAAAAAAAAAAAAAAAGATGAGTAAGGAATTCTTAACTTACCATCGTATGTAACTTATTAATATTTTGAATTGAATCATTTTCCTAAGTAGACGTGACTTTCTGGAGTGTACTTCTCTCTGCCAGTCCCCTAGCAGTCCAGCTACAATGCTCAGCGCTCAGCCAAGACAGATTTATGACCTTTTAAAAATAATGATGGAAAATGAGATCGGAGGAAACATTTTGGTATCCGCTTTGCTCTGAGGCCTAAACTGCGAGCTCTCCAGTTCTTGAAGGCTTTGAAATGCTGATTCCAGTCTTCTTGTGGGTTCTTAAACACCTTCTCAAATGACCCATTTTAATAACCCGAAAGCTATTATATAACGAGCAGCCATAATTTAGTCCAGGGCTCTAGGGGGACCCTCACAGTTCAGCAATGAATAGTTAATGCAGTATAATGTTTAGCAGGTTATTAGTTTTCACTATACAAATGCTGATCAGGGAACGCTTTTATAAGGTGTTTAAAAGAAAATGTAATTAACTGGTTGCGTGCTTCTGTTGCAGCTCAAATTGAAATTATTCCATGCAAGATCTGTGGAGACAAATCATCAGGAATCCATTATGGTGTCATTACATGTGAAGGCTGCAAGGTAAGCCTTTCTAATTGTTGTTGTTTCTATTAATGTGAGAATGTATCCTTGTGATTTTTATTTTTTTAATTCTACTATGTCTAAAAAGCCAACTCCCTGGAATTTTGAGTGATGAGACATGACAGGACAGCATAAATATTTTGGTGTTAAATTACAATTAAGGAAGTTCTATATTTTTTTACTCCTTCAAAATAACAGGAGATTAGAGAAACATATTTGAGTGTTGTTTATGTTTGTCACTTCCAATCTCAGAGTTGATTGAATTGATGAGCAATCTCTTTGGTTATCTTTTTTTTTTTTTAAAGAGATGACTCCAGACTTCTGTGATGTTATAAGCTTCATAAAAAGGTATTTCCGATATGTTTAATTGGAATGTGATTGAGTCTTATTGTTGGCACACAGATGTTAATACATCTGGCCAAATTATGGGAAGGCAGTTAGGAAGAACTGCGTTCTAGTGCCGGTGGCACCACTTGTCCATATTATTTTGGGCATGTCTTAATCTTTTTGTGACTCAGTTTCTTCATCTATAAAGTGGGTATAACACCTATCCCTCCTATTTTTTAGGACTATTCCAAGAATAAAGTGAGAAGCTATAAATAAAAGTCTTTACAAATGGAAAAGTGCTACTTAAACCTAAATAATATCATTATTATTGCTTTTGTTCCTATTTTTATTAGTACTGACCTTGATCATGGGGCAATATATACAGCACATACATAATGTGCAACAGGGAAATGGATACGTTTATCCTAATAATTCAAGACCTCCCCAAAACCCAGACTGCCTGTTACTCAAATTCCAATTTATTAAGATTTAAATCTTCATGCTTATATTGGAAGGGCCTTGAGACAGCTCACAGGGTAAAACAGTGCAAAATAAACAGGAGAGAAGCTACTTACACATGCAGGAGGCCTCTGAGACAGCCGACTGGTACAACCAGGCCGGAATTAGCCCTAAGGCTTTTGGGGGATGAGGCAGAAAAATAAAATCCATGAATTCGGGTAGCTTTCCTTTAGCGAAATGAGAAAATACAATGTCATAAAATACAAAATCACCTACAGACACAACTACTGAGAGACTGCAAGGAAATTAACCTCATAATTTCCTTAATGCTTTGTTTTACTATTAATCACCATAACATTTCCTAATTTGTACGTGTACAAATGCTTCCTATGACTCCACCTTATTGAAGCTTGAGATGTCTGCACACCAGCAAACTCACTTAATACATTTTTTTTTTTTAAATATCACCTACGGAGTGGGGAGCTTGCTATTTAAAGGGGATTTTGAATTATTCATCTCTATGGTAACCTCCAGGCCTCAAGTTCTTGATTATCAAGAAAAAGAAAATTATGCCCTTTTACTTCCTCAATCTGCCCTCCTCCTCAAAAATTAATTAACCGATTAAATAAGGAAAATAAAACAAAATGAAATAAACTGCCTGGCCCACCCCCATCCCAGGATGTAAGGGAGAGAGTGATCTGCCCTCGGCAGCTGTCACTCTTTTTGATTTTTGGAGTTGATCTGGCTGGTGGGTCTGGGCAGCTGTTGCCTTTCACCCTCACCCTCTCTGCGTTCGCCCCTCCAAAGCTGGGACCCTGGCAGAAATGCCATTGCCTGTCTCCATGAAGGGTATATAGACAGCAGCGCTTGCCTACTAGGAGCTCTAAGCAAATGTGATTTTTGTGCATTGCACATCACCTCGGTGGTGTTTTCTTAAATGCACAGTGTCCTTGGGTGCATCCTGGACACCAGCTCACTACTCATCCCTTCCTTCTGCCCAAAAAACTCATCACTTCCTCTGAGTCTGCCAGTGATGCTCCCTGTAGTTTTATAAGGCAAGTGGAAGAGATTGTCTAGGAATTGAGTCTGGGGGAAGAGCAGCGTAGGGGTTACTGCATGTGAAATACCCCAACAGCTTGGAAGATGAACAACATGCTATTAAGCAAAACCTGAATTGAGTGTCTGAGACTCACTGTGTTTGCCTAGGCACAAACAACGTGCATTTTTTTTTCTTTCTACCCCTAATATTTACCATGACAAAAAAAAAAAAAAAAAACACAGGAAAATGAAGGGCAGCTATTATTCCACAGTTGTCATATTTCTAAGTTCCCCTCTAGATCTTGTCCGAATATAGCCTCAGTGCAAAACTGGTTTTTCGATTATCTGTTGTTCTATCCCTCTGCTCTATTGGCTTTGTACAAAGAAAACCACAAAACAATTAAAATGTCATTTTATTTACAGATCGGGCCTATGCCCAGTCAGAAACTTGTACCATGTTATGTGTTTATATTTGATGCATATACTATTTGTTATGCATTATAGTTTCTCTCTGCTGTAAATAACATTTCTATTCCTAGTTATGGTAAAGTCAAGAGACTTCTATTTTTTTGCCATTGGTGTTAATTATTTATCGTGTTCTAACCAGGGGAAGGTGGTTATATCATGCCCAACTGTAAATCATGTATCTCTGGGATAGTAGAATTAGACATAAGGAAAATTTCTAATTAGACATATCAGATAGATATCCAATGAGAGGAAAAAAGTAACTGAGTCATTTTCTGAGCTAGTCATTTTGTAAATGTATTTTAAATTGCATTTTAAAATCAACAACCTGAAACCATAAGAAACTAGAGAACCTGTTTAATTACTGAAATAGTTATTTTACCACATATTTGTTAAACATTGCATGTGAACAGCAAAAATGGCAGAAGTTTTGGAAGCGCTTTCTCTTGTTCCCAGCTCAGCCTCTCCTGTCACCTTTACTATCCGTAGATAGACTGTTTTGTGCCATGCTTATGCTTTGACTCTGGGACCTCACTGCCTGGTTTGAAATGCCAGCTCTGCTATTTACCAGCTCGAGCACCTACTCCACCGCTCTGTGCCTCAGTTTCCCCATCTGTAAAATGAGGATAGCAATTGTTGCTGCCTTGCAGGGTTATCATGTGCATTTCAGTAAAGCACGCAGAAGAGTGCCAGGCACGGAACAAGCACTTCCTAAGTGTTGGCTGTTGTTATTGTCCTTACTAGCCAAACTGCTTAGTGGCTTGGTAATGCAGCTCTGTACGGTCAGATATTATTTCCTGGACAACTGTGGGTCCAGTCCTATTTGCTATGACCATGTGCAATTTGTTATGTAGAATCTGCCAATAAAAACAGCAGCAATACGAGCATTCCCTTGGGGCCAGGCACTGTGTAAGACCTAATCCTTCCCTCCAGCAGTTTATAGTCTAGCCATAGAGATGAGTCCTGCATAGGGAAAGTGAAATAGCAAGGTGAGAACTAAATAATGGAGTAGGGCCACAATCTATGATATACACAAGAAGCACGACGTATAGGTGGCTTAGAGGAGAGTAGCCTAGCAGGGTTACACAGAGGAGGAACCAGCAGTGGGCTGGGGCTGCAGAAGGATTTGTCCAACAGAGGAGGAATGGGAGGACATTCTGGGCTGGGGAGGAGGGAGAGCAAGGAATGGCTGAAATAGGAAATAGGGCAGTCTTGGTTGTATTCAGGGAACAGCACGTAACCCAGTTTGACTGAAGCAAAGCCTCACTTTCTGTGCAAAGTGGAAGATCCAGGTAGACAGGGACACCATCCCCAAATTTTTAAGGACTCCATTTTGGCAAGGTTTTTATTATAAAGGCATTTTAATTGTTCTTTTGAAAGAACGAAAGAACAACGTACTGGCACAGCTCAAGCCCTGGATGTTGCATCTCAGAAGAACACATGTTAGTTAGAATCCAGGCCTGTAAGGGGTTAACAAAATTTAGTCCTAGCCTTGGGTGAGCACGAAGAGAGGGTATAAGGTAAGCTGAGGCAGGCCTGCCAGGCAGGAGAGACCAGGTTATGGGACATGCCAGCAGAAATAACACTATAGGCTGTAGATGTTAGGGTTAAGGTTCAGTCTTCAAAGTGACTATAAATGGGAAGCATTAAGAGAAAGATGATCATTGGTTAAAGTTTTTTTTTTTTTTTTGAGAAAAAATCTTGTTTGCCATTCAACTTCAGTTCCTGACTTTGTCATGAGGTATAGTGGCTACTCAAATAATGAAGATAAAAATTTATAATGAAGATAAAAAGTTTATCTCAAGATATATACACACACACACACACACACAAAAGATTTTTCATCCTTTTAGACTTTTTGGCTCTACACTTTTAACTATAAGTTTCTTAATGATAATGTGCAATCCAGTATTGAGGTTAGTGAATTGGTTTCTGATTATGTTTAAGACCCTATGCTCTTAATAAGTCTAGAAACAGAGTAGCATTCATTTGTAAAATACTTAGTCATCAATCAGTACATTTAAGATGATATCCTATGCAAAGCTTTCCTCTTCTACCCAGTAAAGACAGCATTTGGGATAATTTCTTTGCATTAACAAATATATTTTCTTAAATTGACAACAAAAAAGCCTTTTAAAAAATATCTAGAGTATATAGTATATATTTTTCCCCTAAAATAGTTAAAGCAACTTCTGGAGTTTTTTATGTTTTAGGTTAAAAAGAAATTTCCATGAATGTTTCTTTTAGGCCCAAATTGTCTTTTTAGAGGATTCTAATATTTTTATTTCAGTTGTGAGATGTCACTAGCCCTGAAACAATTCTGTCTACTTTTCAGCATGGATACATTCATGATCAACTTTTTTATTCTAATGCTTTATAACACCTGGCTGCAGTATTAGAGCTAGCCATTTAAAATGAAAATTAGTCTTGGGGTAGGACAAACTGCTATTGCATCCTTATGATGTCAAAGTTTCAGTTCTGTTATATACAGGCGATAAGCAGAAATTTTTGTTCAGCCAAATCTTCCAGTCCTATGATGAAATGCAAGTGGTAGGGATGTATTAAACCCCAATTGGCACCAAGATGATTCAGATATTTAAAAATTTTTTATTTGGTTGTTTCGGTCTTAATCATGTCTCAGTAACTACTTCCCTTCCTTGGCTCACGGAAGATACTGGGCTCAAGGCCATGTTTGTAGATTGGGCCGTAAC